TCAGAACACTTTCCACTCACAGTAATCAAAGAAAAGTACACTGAAAAAGAGTCCAGCTGTCATGTTCTTTTTTATTTCATTTGTAGCCATGAGTGGCTTCACTTCCACACACTGCCACTGTGGATTTACAGTTGTGGGTAAAGCTCTACCGCCCCCTAGAGACCACGGGAGGAAGCATTTCAACTCACAGAAAGGGGATTTGCTATTCTCATTATAAACTCTGGAGGATCTGATTTCCTCAAGCCCATCACTCTAAGATAAGTGGCGAGTGGAAATCAGCCAGCATGTCGCTCCTCATCTCCATTCCCCTCTGCTAAAAGCCCTTTAAGAACAGCCATGAAAAACAAGCTGGAGGGTTTGTGAAAGTGCATCAGAGAATTTGGGGGGTGTCTGGACAGAGAATAAAAGAGGGTAAAAAAGAAGGACAGACAGACAGATGGAGAGAGCTGCCAACATGTGAAATTGAAACAACATGAATTCATTCCCCAATAACATGGGGCACAGAGTGGGAATGAAAGACAGACAAAGACGGAGAGACAGAAATGGGGAAAGGAGGGTGGCAAGGAGCAAGAAAAAAGAGAAGGCAAAGCACATCTAGCAGAAGGAATGATGGGGTTGTTAGTGGTTTGTGAACCAGATGAAACATTTTAACCAATTTGATTGTTTGTGAAAGAAATCATTCTGATCAAAATCCAAATTGCTGCCAACTGGCCACCTGGTGCATCTCAGGGTAATGCAGCCTGACGTGTCGGGGTAAGAGGAGAGACTTTAGAACCGGGAGGAGCAGATGGGGGAGGTCAGTGCTCGCCCCCCCAACTTCAAACACGGGGAAGTGTAAAAACAGACTCTTTTGGGGGCTAAAACAACTAACGACAGGATTAGAGGAAGTCCGCTAAGTGGCCTTGAGATGTTGCAGTTTACTTCGCCCAGTTCTGGGCTAAAGCAAAGTAGCAATCTGCCTAGTGCTCTGCAAAAAACATTTCTTTAGGTTTTTCTTTTACCCGCTGGGAGTGTTGCATCAACTGCATGAAGGACACAATATCTATGAACTGGTGAGCGGTGTCCTGATATTACCTGACTTAAACTCTGAGGTCTGGTCTTGGGAAGAAAAGGGGACAAAGTCTACAGGGAACAGGGAAAATCTGCCAGAGCCATTAAAAGTACTGGGTCTCAACAGCATGTTGTTATATTGTGCTGGTGTGTAACTGTTTACTTTTAATTTGCATTGCAATATTTTTTATCTGATTTGCATTTTAATGTTTGTGTGCAGTGTGAATTGCCTTTGTGTACAATATACTGTAAATAAACTTGCCCTTTCCTGATATAATTAACCTCATCCAGCTGGTACAACAAGAACTTTAGAGTGTTTGCAGTCCTTGTTGAGGTAGGTTTGTGGACTCTTTTTCACAGCAAACACACACAATGTACCCGTAGGAACGCCCATCTGCAACTAAATAATTTAATCTCATGTTTTCTTACCAGCTTTTTTATACACCAGTTGCGTGCTAGGGGTAACAATAACATCGGTGCAAATTTCACCTGCTGAAGACCAGGGTCATGGTCAAAAGCTCTGGAAAAAATTAAGTAATACTATAGCTATGATATTTTTTTTCCCATTTCACAAACTTCAGTGAATTGTATGCAAGTGCAGAATGTTTTGTATGAAGACTATTTTCATATGTCTTGATCACATTTTTTCAAAACTCATCAAGAACACATAAAACCTAAAACAACTAAAATCACACATACACTATATTGCCAAAAGTATTCGCTCACCTGCCTTCACATGCAAATGAACTTGAGCAGCAACCGATTCTTAATCGATAGGGTTTAATATGATGTTGACCCACCCTTTGCAGCTACAACAGCTTCAACTCTTCTGGGAAGGCTGTCCAAAAGGTTTAGGAGTGTATTCATGGGAATTTTTGATCATTCTTCCAGAAGCGCATTTGTGAGGTCAGACACTGATGTTGGACGAGAAGGCCTGGATCACAGTCTCCACTCTAATTCATCCCAAAGGTGTTCTATCGGGTTGAGGTCAGGACTCTGTGCAGGCCAGTCAAGTTCTTCCACACCAAACTCACTCATCCATGTCTTTATGGACCTTGCTTTGTGCACTGGTGCGCAGTCAAGTTGGAACAGGAAGGAGCCATCCCCAAACTGTTCCTACAAAGTTGGGAGCATGAAATTGTCCAAAATGTCTTGGTATGCTGAGGCATTAAGAGTTCCTTTTATTGGAACTAAGCGGCCAAGCCCAGCTCCTGAAGAACAACCCCACATCATAATCCCCCCCCCACCTCCACCAAACTGTACACTTGGCACAATGCAGTCAAACAAGTGCCGTTCTCCTGGCAACCGCCAAACCCAGACTCGTCTATGGGATTGCCAGACAGGGAAGCATGATTTGTCACTCCAGAGAACACATCTCCACAGCTCTAGAGTCCAGTAGTGGTGTGCTTTACACCACTGCATCCAACGCTTTGCATTGCACTTGGCGATGCATTGCTTGTATGCAGCTGCTCGACCATGGAACCCCATTCCATGAAGCTCTCTACGCACTGTTCCCAGGGGTGGATACTGTTGAATACTGTGGTGAACACCTTTGCTGCTGTGTTGAGAACTTGCACAGACCAAATTCACCACATCGGCAAATAACTTCCACAAGCCTTTGCTGCTACCGTGGTGATATACAGTGGTGTGAAAAAGTGTTTGCCCCCTTACTGATTTCTTATCTTTTTGCATGTTTGTCACACTGTAATGTTTCAGATCGTCAAACAAATTTATATATTAGTCAAAGATAACACAAGTAAACACATCATGCAGGTTTTAAATGAAGGTTTTTATTATTAAGGGAAAACAAAATCCAAAACTATAGAGCCCTGTGTGAACAAGTGTTTGCCCCCTAAACCTAATAACTGGTTGGGCCACCCTTAGCAGCAACAACTGCAATCAAGCAGATCCTCAAAAGCTAGACATCATGCCGAGATCCAAAGAAATTCAAAACCAAATGAGAAAGAGAATAATTGAGCTCTATCAGTTTGGAAAAGGTTATAAAGCCATTTCTAAAGCTTTGGGACTGCAGCGAACCACAGTGAGAGCCATTATCCACAAATGGCGAAAACATGGAACAGTGGAGAACCTTCCCAGGAGTGGCCGGCCGACCAAAATTACCCCAAGAGCGCAGCGACAACTCATCCAAGAGGTCACAAAAGACCCCACAACAACATCCAAAGAACTGCAGGCCTCACTTGCCTCAGTTAAGGTGAGTGTTCATGACTCCACCATAAGAAAGAGACTGGGCAACAATGGTTTGCATGGCAGAGTTCCAAGACGAAAACCACTGCTGAGCAAAAAGAACATAAAGGCTCGTCTCAGTTTTGCCAGAAAACATCTTGATGATCCCCAAGACTTTTGGGATAATACTCTGTGGACAGACGAGACAAAAGTTGAACTTTTTGGAAGGTGTGTGTCCCATTATGTGTGGTGTAAAAGTAACACCGCATTTCAGAAAAAGAACATCATACCAACAGTAAAATATGGTGGTGGTAGTGTGATGGTCTGGGGCTGTTTTGCTGCTTCAGGCCCTGGAAGACTTGCTGTGATAAATGGAACCCTGAATTCTGCTGTGTACCAAAATATCCTGGAGGAGAATGTCCGGCCATCCGTTTGTGCCCTCAAGCTGAAGCGAACTTGGGTTCTGCAGCAGGACAATGATGCAAAGCACACCAGCAAGTCCACTTCTGAATGGCTGAAGAAAAACAAAATGAAGACTGGAGTGGCCTAGTCAACGTCATGACCTGAATCCAATTGAGATGCTGTGGCATGACCTTAAAAAGGCAGTTCATGCCCGAAAACGCTCCAATGTGGCTGACTTACAACCATTCTGCCAAGATGAGTGGGCCAAAATTCCTCCACAGCGCTGTAAAAGACTCATGGCAAGTTATCGAAAATGCTTGATTGCAGTTGTTGCTGCTAAGGGTGGCCCAACCAGTTATTAGGTTTAGGGGGCAAACACTTTTTCACACAGGGCTATATAGTTTTGGATTTTGTTTTCCCTTAATAATAAAAACCTTCATTTAAAAACTGCATGATGTGTTTACTTGTGTTATCTTTGACTAATATATAACTTTGTTTGACGATCTGAAACATTACAGTGTGACAAACATGCAAAAAGATAAGAAATCAGTAAGGGGGCAAACACTTTTTCACACCACTGTATGCTGTCTATTCTTATATTTTATGATAGTTTGATCCTGACAAAAGCAGCTGTGGGTGATGCATGCGTCTTTAACAATCTGCATGCTCCCGTGGAGCACAATCAGTTTCTGGATCAATTCCAGTACAACACCTTAAACGCAATGGATATAATTTAAAGAAAAAAAAATATTTAAAAAAAAATTACTGTTTATAAAGTTACATACAGATAAATTGTATTGTGTAAATAAATTGAAAATAATTCAACACATCTCTGAGACCGTCCTGAAACTCCTGTTTGAGATTTTCGGGGGTCCGAACCCCCAAAAGCCCCTGTGTTTTGCACCCTGGTTGCACATGCAAAGTGCAATAAACTTCAATCAAAATTGCAGAGGTTTTCCTCCTATTTGACTTGTATTTTTTCACTTTTTAGTCAGATTTAAATAATTCATGTGCACTGTCCCCAAGTGGCTTGAAAAACACTATATATTAAGAATTCACACAGCTCTAATGGAGAACTGGCATAAACAAATGGGACATGAACTGTCAAAGTGACTGATGTTACTGAAGCATAAAGCAGCATCTGGAAATATTTCCTGATATAAATCATAACTTTGTTTACTTTAAGTTCTTGTTCGGCTGCTGTATTGAGACAATATGAAACATTGAGACGTTTGACATGTTTGGTGGAGACAGGGATCATTTCTTAAAAATACCTCACTTTACACTGATGTCAGTAACTGAAGGGTCTAATGTTGGCCCCAGCCATGAGAGAAATACCTCAGTATATACACACACTCACACACCTGATTAAAGGTTTTAAAGTGAAGCTCTTTGAAGATGGCGTCACGGTCCTCCACCTCCATCCAGCCTGCAGCCCTGAGCTCCATCATCAGCTTATCACGCTCCGCAGGGGGGAGCCAGTGGGAGTCTGACGACTGAAAACAATCACAGACAGTGCGCACAGTATAATTATGACACTGGAACATCACAACTTATTCTGTCTTTTCCATATGCTGCGTTCTTTAAGCCATATTAATATGAACACACAGTGAGCTGTTTGTGTTTCAGTTCTACAACAGAAAAGTAATAAAACATTTTCACTGATCAACCACATTAACTGCTCATTTTAATTCTGACCAGCCTTTAGTGAACCCCAGATTTGAAATTCACCTTGATTGCAGCAGTTACCCGTGTACCATTAGTGCTCCGTCCGCAAGGTGGCAGCCAAGCACTATAGAGGAGATGGTGGCCTTACTACGAACTCAAAGGGCAAAGGCCACGCCGATTTAAATGCTAGTCTGTCTAACATGCAAACCCACACCCACAATAATATAAACGTATTCGATTTCTGCATTGTTATAACCCGTTCTTCAATTCGGCATGTATACACACCGCAAATCCGAACTTCTTTTATAAATCGCCCCAAAACAAAGGGGACAAAGCTGCAACTACACGTGATTTTTGTTTGTTGGTGGGGGTGTTTTTTTACGCCGAACTGTAGAATACCAATTATGAAACTCAAAAGAAGTCACAAAATCTGCTTGTTACATAAGCCCGTCTACAGGTCCACATGGAATATATTTAATTCGGAGTTTTTCGTATAGAGTCTGGCGTGTAGTAACAGCGTAGGTTCCAGGGGGCAGTCATCACCTGTTATTTCAGCGCCTACAAGTTTGTAAAGAGCCTGGTGACACGCTTACATAAGCTAACTCTAAAAAAAGAAACACTCACCATTTTAGACGAGTTGTTCCTGGAGAGCGAAGGCAGCCACAGACTGCCCTGCAGGAACAGACGGCTGCAAGGCAATGAGCTGATCGTCCTCAGGCTAAACATTAACCCAGAAATGACCAACGGTTTGTCGGATATTCTTTCCCCGCTACCCCCTCTCCTGCTCTCTGCTAGTCATCTCCTGCACTGTCACGGTTCATCATGGCTGTTCAGATTGCTGCCTGATTAAAATCCCCCTTTTTTCTAAGGGAGTCTGGTTGTACTGCACCAAAGTGATAAGGTGGTGAATAAAACTACCTGCAAACTGCCTGCGCTGTCATTATGACAAAATGGACTCAAAAAGAATTTATATTTCCAGTTAGAGATTAATACACGTATGCTTAAGACCAGGCCAAGTGAAAAGTGACTATAAATTAATCCTCCTATATCCCTTTAATAAAGTTAGTCAGTAGTGGAAAGCAACTACTGTAAGTACATTACTTAAATACCATACTTGAGTGTAATTTTACATGCAAAATGTATGACCAGGTCATGTGCTGCTATAGATTAAGCTACTTAGCAGTATACACTCTGCAAGTAAAACTTTACCCACATTAACCAGCCAATAACTTCAGAACATTAAATGCATCCTGATGAATAAATTATTTAATCATACAACATGTGAAAAGGTGCCATTCTCTCTACTGTAGGTACTTTGATACTTGAAGTACAATTTGCTTCTAATATTTAATTACCTTTATGAATGCAGGACACATACGTGCAAAGGAGAATTTTTTAAGTAAGGTACTGCTAATTTCTATTGAAGATACAGTATTTGACTCAGGGTAGCTCTAGTATAAAACTCCAACCCACTCTGCTCAGTGGTTCCTCTCCCTGCTCCACTCCGTCACACTCTGCCCAGCTCCTCAGATATTTGTCACTATGCAATTACATGAAATGAAAATGCACAAAACTTACTGATAAAGCAGAAACAATTGAAAATCGCTGATTGTTTAGAGAGGTCAGTCCTGCTTAAAACCTTTTAGAAGATACTATCTCTGCACTGCTGCCAGTGCTGTTCAGTGAGTCTGGGTCACAGGACACTTCGAGAGCACCTCCCCACATTAAGACAAGTTCTGGAGCAGTTTTCTACAGAAAAAAAATATTAGAGAAAAAAAAAAGTTATACACTGCAGCTTTAAGTAAAAGATCTCTATTTTTTTCCACCACTGGTGACTTTCTTGTACTTTGTACCCAAGGATTACAGTGGAGGATCTAATCAAAGACAGAACAACAACACAAACTCTTTGTTTTGACTTCAGTAACAGCCCTGAAATGTTAACACCAACAAATCTTTAAATTCTTTATTATAAATCACAATGGCTCAAGTAGTCAATTCATCAAACACTTAAAACATAAGAAAATTAACAACAGATGACTTTAATAACAAGCTGAACAGAATAATGTTTACATCCAGTGCTTTATGTGCTCTTTCAGTCCTGATGCTCATGCTCCTGTCCCGGTATGAGCCAGCGGATGCTGTCCGTTCGCAGGATGGCGTACATGGTGAAGCCTGTGATGAAGAGGACAGAGAAGACCAGCAGCCAGTCGACGCTCCTCACCGGGTCACTGGGGAGGGGCCCCAAGCGGTCTGCATCCGTCACATTTCTGTCAGGGCTGGCTTCAAATCCTGGAGCAGTTCAGCAGAATATACAGCAGCAAGATTGCATTTTAAAGTTCAACAAGTGAGAGCTGGTCAAACACTGAACAGCATATATGTAGATGCCTACATATGTTGTTAAGTAAAAAGCAATTTAGAATCAATATATGGTAATGTAGTAGAGAAAGAATTTGTTTTGCAGTCTTAGAACAACATGGGGGTGTCCAGAGCCTCAGACCAAAAACCATTGGTGTTTTCCAGAATCTGAAACAAAGCCAGGACTCTTAGCCCTTAAACACAAAAACAGCATTATATCAGACGATACCTGTCTGGTTAGAAATGAAGGCGGTGAGCATCTCCAATGTTCTGTCTGTGTGGTTATAGCGAGCCATGGGTTTGGCCCCCTGGAATAGGAGGATGTTTGGCACTGCCACGGTCCCAAACCTTGTAGACAGGCTGGCGGAAGGTGGAGCCGGACAAGAAGGAGAAATGGTGGTTCAGTTTTAGATCATCAGCTGAGTGCCACAAAATAATCTAACACCTATAAACAGTTGGTATTTCTGTTCACATGCACACACACACACACACACACACACACACAAGCAGTTTTCACACATGTAGCACACAAGAGGAGACAGTCACAATTGTTCTCACCTACTGCAAATGCTATGTTTAGTTTTATGTTTTTCTTCACCATATGATGTTTGTATTTTTCCGGTTTCACACTGGTCACATGATAGAACAGCATTAACACACCCACTAGCTTCGTGTGAATACTCTGGACTATACGCTGCTGTTTTCTCACATGGGTTCACTCCGGCTCACTCAGACTTTGTACTAGGGAGCTAGAGTAAAGATTTTGGTTGACAGACTTGGACATTTGCATTCTCACATATAGCTCCCCAGGTAATGTCTTGATAATTTCAGGGTTCCAGTGTCTGAAAGACATCTCAATGCTGGAACCTTTTTGATACATCCTTAATCTACTACTTGCTACTTTAGTAGTTGCTAATAAAAATATGAAATCTAGTTCTACCAGATACTGGTTAATGTTACCCGAGCCACAGATCGCAGAGATTAAAATAAATCAGAACTCATTTAATGCCCCTTTGAAGTAGCCCTTCACAGAAGGAGGGATGACATATTTTCAAACCATTCACCTGCTGTGTTGAGAGGCATCCAGTGCCAGGAAGTGCATACTGGGAAAGACTCTGGGCAGGGCGTTGAAGTGAGGAGCCAGGCTGGCAGAGAACTGGCACCAGGTGGTGAAGAACAGCACCACAGAGCACTCTGTGCTGTTAGCATTCAGGAACTCCATCAGGTCCTGAGAGACATGACAAGGGCACAGAGTGAGGGATGGGTTTATTCTGTGTACCACATTTATATCAGTGATGCTGGGCTAAAAAGAACAGCAACAGCTCTGCATGTAATGCAACGTTCAACAGCAGCTCAAACTGCAGCCTCCAATATGATCACACAACACAGAACTGCATTTCAAATTTTTTAAATTAGGCTGCTAATATTATGGATGGATGGTTAGGAAAATTATGGCAAATTTAAAACATGTTGAGTTCTAAGTTATGTTAACTGTAGAAGAAATGAAAGAAAAGCATGAATACCTGTGAAGCATTGAGGACCTGCACAGAGAAACTGTCCACCCCTGTGATGTTCCTCTTATCACAATTCACCTTGTACGTCTTGGCAGTTTCTGTGGTGTTCTGCTCCTCAGGTGCTGCAGCTTCCACACGTACTATGTCGAGGGTGACCTGGAGGTAAACACCCGAGGAGAAGTCAATCACTCTGCACTCTTCACTGTTTATTTTCACTGACCTGACCTGAGGCCCGCAGCACTGGTGCTCAGAAAGACATGAGAATATAAAATCCAAACCAAAACAAAAGTGAAATCATCAGTTGTCACAACTGATCTTCTAAGTAATAACAGTTGTAACATGTCCTCTGTTGGCCCACAGGGGACTTTCTGAAGTATGAGGAAAATAACCCTAATTATGTCTTCAGGACCTGAGAGCTCAAATTCTTAACCAACCCTTTATTACAGATGGGGGTGTGAAGACATGGGCCTTCACTGACTCTCAAGAAGCTGCAGAAAATGAGTGGACATTTTTTTAAGTAGGCAAAGTGACAGCTTCCTGCAAATAATTATTTTGTTAATCTTTAGTTAACAGGCAGTTAGTTGAGATTATTGTTTCTATTAGCAAGGACAAAGCACATACAAGGGTGAAAGAACAAACATTAAGAGAAACACACTTCAAATGCAGAAATGCAACAAAACATACAACTTTACAAATACTTCTGCATGTCCATTAATCTTTATGTAACCAATACTTTGAGTTTTGATATTTTCTCAGGTGAGAACTATTTAGGTTTTTCCTTTAATTTGTCACCTGTCTGTATACTCCCCAAGACCTGCAAGCAGACTATGTGAAGTCTTTAATGCACATCTTCCTCAGGGATCCCAACTCTCAGACCAAAAACACCTGATCTCAGTGATACACTATGTATGTACTTTGTGTTTACCAGCTATTTGGCCATTCACAGTAATCTGATGGCAGTAATCTGGCATTTCATTGTTTCTGATATGAAAAAACAACAACTGTGTCCTATTTATAGCTTCATTGTGCCACAATGGACTGCAGGTACAAAGTTTCACTGGCCATTTTCATTTATTTATTTATTAGGCATTTTGGTTTGAGGGGGGAGACTGGGAACTTGACTTATCAGCTTATCATCAGCACTTCAGAGGAGGTCCTGACACACCTTCTCTTTAGGTTGCAGCTTTAATATAAATGGACTAAAACACAACTTGTCATCCATCTACAATCCTGTTTTGAGATCTCTGCCCAAACATGTCCACCAGGACAATAGGCGTTGGTCCACAGGTGAGGGTTCAAAGACAGGTAATGACACTCACCAATACTGGGCTATAACGAACCAGTCGTTAGGGGACATTGTTGGGCATCAGAAGGACTGAAACACCACCGAGGGGGATAAATATCTCTTACTCAATGCCAGTCGGGCAGAACTGACAAAGCCTCTTGGATGAGGTGAAACGTCTTCGACCTAGAAACCTAGTCCAGTTGATTTAATAAGTTTTTTTCAGCCAGCTTTAATATAATTCACATTTCCTGATCATAGGGCTTCCAGTCACTAACCTGCTTTGACATTTCAGTGCTCTTCTCCTCCAGTGACACTCCTTTAGCATCCAGAACATGTGAACCACACTGGACACTGTTCTCATCACAAGGCGGAGAGAAGCCTAACTGAAAGTCTTTGGCATTTTTGGGGACAAGGGACTCAATGTCTGACAGATCGATGGGGGCTTCAGTACCCATCACAGCATCTGCAATCTCAGCTGTCTTGAACTGTCTCTTTGGCAGAGACTCCAGGTCTTCTGACTCCACAAACTTGGGGTTGTTCTCTGAGTCAGATGCTGCATCCTCTGACAACATGAACTCCAGTGACTCATCATTGTCTGGATTGAATTACAATACATGTTGAGCTTAGTATATAAGACATTTCAATACAAGTTAAATACAAATAACTAAGTCACTACCGCAACTACCAATTATTATCTAAACTAAATGATTAGTTCTTTGGTCATACAGTGATATAAAAACAGAAAACAAACACTCCTCACATTGCAGGAGCCAGAACAAACACATGAACAATTTTATAACGACTACTACTACTACTACTACTACTACTACTACTTTCTACTAATCAACCAATCAATCGTTTCAGCTCCATAACTCTTTAAAAATAATTTAAATATTACACAAACCTTCGTTGATATAAACTATTATTAGGTTAACATCACCTGCCAGTTTGCTGTTATGCTAGCGCTGTATAGCTAACAAGCAGCTAACAGCCTCTTACCTTGTGCTATCACAGACGAAAACCTCAAAACTTCAGAATGACACAACATAAATAATAAAACATACCGAATGTACAGTTTCTTAAAAACACTCGACATATTTTTTAAGCGTATGTAGATGCATTAATGAACAGTTATCTCGACATGATGATGCCTCCGGTCATATTATTCAGTTCAAAGGAATTGATCTTTCGAAGTGTGGGGGAAGGATATAAATGATACACCTCCCAGTTGAGTTATTCTTCTTGTGGCATATGATGGAGAGCGATTTTCTTTACTTTGTGCAGTTGGTTGTAATAATAAGAAAATCAGACATATATGGCACTACATGCAAATATACATAATTTTTGTAAATTATCGTCTGTGCACATACTGTAGCTTATACATTTACGTGCATAAAGGCTGTAGATTTTTTTAATTATTAAGTATATAGGTGTATAATGTACATTTATAGGTAGACCTATTTATATATAGACATATGTGATTTTATATATTTTGTTTTGACTTTATTTATTTTCCAGTTTAATTAAATTTTCCTAATTTAATGCAGAACTGCACTCACTACGACAAGGTGATGAAGATTGTCTGCCACACCGATCACAGTGTATCTATTATCTCTGCTCTTTGAATGAATGCAATGGCCATGACACTGTCTCAGGTGCAAAAATAAAAGAAAAAGAGGCGACAAGATGTAGCACAATCACAGAATAGCTGCAGTTTTGAATTACTGAATTACTAACTATTTTGCAAAATAAAACAGAACAAAATACATTTTCAACAGACTGTTTTACTTTCATATTTATTACACAATTTTTGAACATTCCACAACAATCATGCAGGAATAAAATGGGATTTATACAAAGCTCTACAGGCTTTGCCAGTCACACTTCAGGAATAACTGGGCTTCATGTATTCACAAAAACACTCAAAATATGAGGTAATGTTTTAAATGATCATTTACAGACAACAGACCATGTGCTGAATTAATGCTAAAATTGTATGTGTGTAGGTGTGTGGGGAGCTCATAAAACAACCATAATAAAGCATCTATCTGTGCCTTGTGCCAGCACTGATTTAACTACAAATGTCAGTAAATGAACCCCTATTTCGTGTAGTACACCTTCCTTAATTCCTTAACTCCTTTTTGGAAAAGAAGCATATCTTTTCACCTTCATTCTTAAATTTAATAAGCCCTAAAACACTCATCAGATGGCATTTAGATATGTCACTAACCCCTGACATAACCAGCAGGCAACATTTCAAATCTTTCTAAAAATTTGAAAAATGTTCCTGTTGTTTTCCATCCATATTACAAGCTAGATCAACATCTACTAGTGTACTGGATAGTAAACTCTGTACAACTCCTAATAATATTTTGTTTGCCTTTAAAAACAACAATTTATCGCATAAAGCCACTGAGTGCCAAAGGGAGCACAGATGTTTGTGTTCTGTTGCAGAGACATCAACATCTCATTTCTAATAACACAAGTTATTAAGAGCCCTATATAACCCTGCTGTAGCCTGATAATCAGACTGAACTGCCAACAACTCTGAAACAAAGGTCTGGAACCAGGCTACAAGTAGCTTCCTCAATAGGATGTTATGCTGTGCACTCCACGTGCTTGGTAAGGATAGAACAGTTTTGAAATGTGGTGAATTTAAAACCATTTAAAACAAGTTCAAGGCTTTCATGGGCCTTTGCAGCTGTTAGCAAAGTAGCGCACTGTCAAAGCCTCGCTGGAGCTGAAGCTGCTGCAACCCAGTTAGCCTGGAGTATAGACAAAAACCACAAAACAAATTTTAACTTTTCACTGAGGAAGCCTTGTTAGCTTTTAGAACAATGACTCCTTGAAGATGGAGTGTGACACACAAAAGCAGATCATTTAACTTGTCATGGACAGAACGGTATGGGTGTTACTAGTAACACTAACAATCTATTCAAGTCCCCCACTAAGCCGAGACAGCATGACAGTGTGCCAGCATGCACAGAACCAGGACCCTGAAACTGGAGCAGCTAAATGCAATAAAACCATCATTAACTTTATTACTGACAGCTGTGCTTTTCCTACTGTGACACGTCAGAATGTCCTCCTGTCTAGTTAACTGTACATCCCACCAGCATCTTTATCTCATTAGGCTCCACCTCACTGTGTGCATCTAAAACCAGACAGACCTCAGACTGTGAGACAGCCAGGAACACAGTCAGCTGTAACCTCAGCAAAAATTAGTCAGTTAAAGATCATGTCTACTTAAGAATTATACATAAAAGTGAACTTTTTCTAATGAAGAATAACGGATGTGTATAAAACCAAGGAAACATACAAAAAGTTTACATTGTCAGTATAGCAATTTACAATGTATTCAAGACACTGTTAATCGTATGAAGCATGAAACATACATCCACATGGTTTCAGCATCAGATGCGATGATTTAAAGGATTTGTATTAATCCAAACAATCATACTATCTTTTATGGGACAGTGGCCTCAGATGCTTATTCATTTACATTTTCCACATGCTAAGGTTATTGTGTGAGATGTTGGAATATTTTAAAAATCAAATAGCATAAATGCCTGAAGTTCAATAGCATCATATTCTTTGGTAAAGGACGGTGAAAAGGATGTTTGTATGTGATGTCTCAGTAACCTTTGTTAACACTACACACATCAACAAAACAAGTGATAGAAGGCTTTGTACACAAGTATCAAAATACAACAATAATAAAAAGTGATAGTATCAAAGGTTCCACAGTACAATACATACAACAGACAGATTATTGCACCAAATATAACCATGTTAAATTTTGTCATAAGAGAGCAACTCAGTGAAGCGATGGTGTCTTCGTTCTCAGGCTATGGATCCCTCTATAGACACCAGAAACTGAATGCTCATCAGGGAAAGATTACAGTTTTGCACAAAAACTCATTTGCCAAATGATAAAAACTTGAATACAGTACTGTGGCAAGTAGCCAAACAACCAATCTATGATGCTGGATCAAAATTGTATTGACTATAAGTCATCTACTGTATTTACGGTGCATGTTGCAAAACATTGAATATTAAACCAGTAAAAATACTGCATCTGTTCATCTCTTCCTTAAGTCTGTTTGCACTAAATGACTTCATGTTACATCAAAATTTCACAAAAACACCAGGTTCCCCAATAGTCAGATTCAAGTGCTCTACGGGGTTAATGTCACGTCCCTTACATCAACATTATTTTACAGTTGCCTGTGCAAATTAAAAAGCAACATGTACAAATTAAAACAATAAATAATTGTCAAATTCTGGTCACTGTAAGCAAATGAGACCACAAATGAGATGTTTCTGTGGTCTCAGTAACACAGTCATTACACGCAGGAGTAAAACTGACTGTATTTATACAGAGTTCTTATTTTGTTACTTCAAGTTGGGACAAATAAATGCTGATGCATTGGAGGTATTTTTTTTAAACTTAAGAAAAATGGGGTTTTATAGAAGCACAAAGTTAAAATGTCTAATGTTGGCATATGTGGCAGAATTCATGCTCATGTATCACCAGTAAAACTTTTTAGAAGACACCAGTCTATGGCAAGCTGACAAACAGAAGAGTAAAGAAACAATAAGTTGGTGTTCAGACTGAGTACGGTAAAACGCAACTCCCTGCGTTTCATAAGGAGCTAAGTTGATGGGGGGGTATGATACAGCCAGGATGTGAGGAGCCGACATGAGCTGCTTCATTCACGTTTCCAGCCCATGAGTTGTGGTTGTGTTTTGGTTAACGATGCTGCTCTACCTCACCAATTTCTACTGCCAGTGTGTCGGCACAGAAGAGACAAAAAACACTATTCACCGTCCAATACCCCAACTAACAAAAACGCATGGCAAGTCCTTATGGTGCGTTAACTGTGGCCCATATTTAGGAGTGAACAGCAGTGAATGCTAATGCTAACAAGGTAAACAAGAGTCTTCTTCTCATGGGCGTCCACGTTCCCAGTGTCCCCCATACATGATTGGTCAGAAGATGTCACCGGGCAGTTCAGCAAAAGTTGAACCAGATCTTTTTTATCGCACGAGGTAGCATCGTTTTGCCAGAGCCGGCTGCAGTGAACGCAGTCCACCACAGAAATGAAAGGAGAGGGCTGCGTTTTTTCACACCTTTGAAACTCAGACTGAACACGGGCTCACATTGTTATTACACGTTCCTGTTCCTACAGTGAGAGAACCAGTGAGGAGGGGTTTGACCTCTTACTGCAGAGCAACCCAGTACCAAGTAGAACATACACACCCTCACACTACTTTTTCCATACTGAGCAAACAAGACAGCCACATTTACCAAATTTTAGCAGGTTATTAAAAAAAGCACAAGATGAAGTGAGCTGTTGCCAAGGTTTATGCATTTTTATAGATTTAGTGGAAAAAGTTCAAACTTGGAGTGTTATTTCCACAACAATCTATAAACGCACCGACCTGCTTAGATGACATTCGCATGCAAATAATATGTAGAGAATTTGTCAGTACAGCTCATATTGTTAATTCTGAAGCCAAGTGGAAAAAGCTTGATTAACCAGATTTTAGTTTTGGGGTGCTATTAGTCTGAAGGATTATCTGTACACCTATGGTGGAAGTGCCACAGAGCAAATGTTCCCCTGAATCTGCTCAAAACAAAGACTTGAATCCAGGGTGAGATGCCTCTTATTTTACAATTCTGACATAAAGGTGCTACATATAGCATCTCCAACAACCCTTCCTCCTGCAAAGACAACATTGCTACTTGTCACTTATCCTTTCTTGTTTTGCATATTTGTTTAAAGAGCAAGAACAAGAGTAAATATCCAACATTAGTTATTTTGATACTGAAACTGCAGTGTGATTAATACGCAGAGTAAAATTACTCCTTGTTTAGTGCCATAAAGTGTCACAGTAGATTTCACAAAACCTTTCAACAATGGTCTCCTTTGTTTACAGAAATTAAACATGTGAAAACTAATGTTTCAATCGTTTGTGGGTGTTAAAAAGCTACATATATACATACATACTAAACTTAAAATTGTCATGAGCTACCCCTACATTTGTTGGCATAATAATAGCTCCTTGCTCGTTAAACAGAACAAATACAGCAACATGTTGTGAACCCTTTCATACACTATAGATCTCCAGCTGTAGTGCTGAAAATCTAACAGTATTATATTAGGTGGCAGGCACACAGATGACACCAGTAATAGAAAATCTCCTCCTCTCAGCAGACTGGGAAAGATTACAATCAACACCAGCGTGTGGCAGGAAATGTGTGCATCTCTTCTTCTGATGGAGGGTGAACAGAAACAGAGTAGAGCCTTTACTCATTAGCTGGCTTCTCTTTGCAGGAAGGTTCACAGAGGATTTCTTTGTGTGGTACTGGATAGGGGAAAGCTGCTCCGCTGCAGGTGCTACCATAAGCCAGTTTGTTGAGGCGAGAGAGGCCTTTGATGCTACCGGGAGGCCGTCCAGGGCTGACCTTGTACCCCGCTGCTCTGGTTGTGCCCAGCGGCCTTCCTGGGCTTGTCTTGAATCCAGCAGCTCTGGTGGTGCCAAGAGGTCGCCCCGTGCTGGTTCTGTATCCGGCTAGCTTGGTGGTTCCCAAAGGCCTCCCACGTCTCCCTGTCTTCCCAACAGCCTTGTTCTTCTTCTTGGGGTCGTCTGGTGCTTGATCAGTGCTTTTAATGCCTGGTATTTTCCCGGGTGAGAGCGGGTCACCCCCAAGCACCTCCTGTCTCTGGCACACCATGGGCTTGTGGCTCTGGGTGGGAAGGGCCATGGGCGCCAGTGTCATCTGAAGGGATGATGGAGGGGGAGGAGGGTAGAACTTGTTGGACTGGGAGGTGCACAGGTCAAAGTGGGAGGTGGAGTGGTGGCTGTCCTCTGCCAGGCACGATGGCCTGCTATTCATGCAGAAGTCACTGCTTGTCACCTGGCGCATCATCGTCTGCTGAGAGTCACAAAAAGGTTGCAGGGTGTTATTATCACACAACTGCTGTTTTTCCATTATAGGAACCTACTGAAATGCGTCGCATCGAGTAATGTTTATCACGCGTTCTACATTTCTTTCCAATACGGTGCATTTTGGGAACTAAATTTCAGCACCCCTCACGATGTAGTACTAAAATCAAGTACCAGGACTGCGCACAGAGAGAGGGTGTGTGCGCGCCAGTGACTGGTTAAACGTCTCAGTCATCAAACCTCAAGCATTAGCATTACAAGCATCATGTGTAAACACACAGTTGACTGCGTGTGTGATAGAGCAGCAGCCCCTCCCTCCTCTAAACCAAGCAGGATGGTCCGCATCAACCCCAGAGGGTGTGCTTGGTTACGGCTGAGGGAAGTACGGGGTGTCCCACTCGTTAGGTTCCGATAGTGGAAATGCAGAAAAAGAGGACACGTGTCTCTGTACGAGGTCAGTGCAGTTGTCTGGGTAGTACAGTCCCAGGGAAACATCTAATTAAAGCAAACATAGTGCTCAGATGAACCGCAAAACATGCTCTGCTCTACAATAAATCACCAGAAAGCTTTTTATTTCCAGGAACTAAATTCCAAGATCCCTCCCTGGGGTAAAAGCACATTGTGCTTTGGATTCCCACAGCAGGGCCGAAGCCCAGGAAGATTAAATAAATTGTATGCTGATGGTCTGCAGTAGGGTTTTGAGAACGCAGCGTGTAAAATGCAATGTCTTGCCCGGTAGTTCTTGGACCTTCAGGAAGTGCTGCCCCCTGAGTAGGGACTTTTTTTTGGCAGGTGGGAGTGGGAACTATGCCTCTGAACTAAATAAAAACCCTGGTTCCTCCAGTGGAAATGCAGGTAGAGGAACCTAATTCAATAAAAGGTTCCTGCTCCTCAGGGAAAGTTCTTTTGGTGGAAATAAGGTCAGTATTTTGACCTGCATAAAGAACAGAAACCTGGACATACTGTATTTAGAACTTTATACTCCTATATTTCTTAGGACTGGGACTAACACAAACCCCAAACCTAAAAAATGCAAGCAGGTAAAGGGGGTAAGGCTTTACACCCTTTATTCTAAAGACAGTCTGTGGCTATCCTCCTGTGGGACTGTCTCATTCAATGCATGGAGACAGTCCTGGATGATTCCCATAGACACGTTTAGCTGTGCAGCTTTGTGCTGCTCTTAATCTGTGGGGGGATGTTAACCAGACATACGTTTGCCAAATTTAGCAGTTAGTCCTCATCTGTAAAGTCTTGTCACTAGTAAGACTGACAACATACTGTGGAAACAATTCTGATGAAGCTTAACTCCCACCTTTGTGGCTTAGAAAACCAAGCATTCAATTCTGACTTCTGAGAAGCTAAAAGTAAAATATAGAAATACACAACAGGTCTGAGGTCAGAGAGTTCACTAGGCCAAGAAAACGTTTCAGATTTTAAATAAACTGGCCCATTTATTAATATAAATGTTGTAAAGGTACAAGAGCATATTTGTAATTAGATTTAGGTCCAAGTGTCCTGCAGCCCTTTTCCAAAGGGAGAGGTCTCCCTGATGATTTCATTTAAAATGTGTGTAATGATGAACACAACCTGACAACCCCAAACACTTATAACTGATCTAAAGCATTAGCACATCTCTTTCATCCAGCAATAAAATCCAACCCCTAGGAAAG